ATTATTAGTCTTGCCAATCATGGGAAGATGCTCACAGCTGCCCAGTGGTRGAAGGGGCACAGGCACTCAGCCAGTTGACAGAGGAGCAGGGGCATGTTCTCCTGGGAGGGTAATTGCCCATATGTCACAGAGGCCTTAGGACCCTGTGGCTGCCATTGCATCTCTAGGACTTCCTTTGGAAACAGAACTGTGCATGTTTGCAAAGGTTGCTTAGCAAAACCTACAAAGGTCTCTCATCAGGCTTAGAACGAGTCTAACTCCCTCTGCACCGTGGGGCCTGGCTCTGTTCCCTGACCCCCGCCCCCACCTCCTGGGCTCCTTTCTGTCCTGCGCGGTCAGGCCGGGTCCAGCCTGGGCTCCTGGGCTTGCTTGTGTACGAGGGTCACCCCCCCAGCAGGTGAACCCTCAGAGGGCGTCTCTGCTATTCATGGCTGGCTCCTAGCCTGGCACCCTGGCACCCACAGATGTTCAATGGATAAACAAAAGATGCTGGGGTTGGATCAGTGTCCCCACAGGTCTGTGTGTTAAAGCCTTGGTCCCCAGGGTGGTGCCAATGGGTGGTGGGGAGCCTAGGCCAGGTAAGGACTTCTGGGAAGCGCTGGGCTGTGCTCTTGGAGAGGACTGTGGTCTCCAGTGGTCACTCCCTGACCGTGGAATGAGCAGTTCTGCTCCATGCCCATTGAGGGGTCCATGGGGGACCAATCCTGCTACCATGTGCTGCCTTACCACAGGCCCAGAGGGGTGGCACCAGTCGATCATAAACTGGGACCTCCAAAACTGCGAGCCAACGTAAGCCTCTGGAGTGCAGGGACGAAGGCGTGCGCCCCACCTCTGCTCCCTTGGGGTGTTCCTGGGGTCCCCTCGTGTCCGTCACGGTTGGCATCCAGGTTTTCTGCAACCGTCAATGCTCCCCCTTCCCCACCGGCTCTGACCACTGGATCCCAAGGGCTCTGGTGGCTCAGGCCACGTCATCAAGGCTGAGGGGTTGTGCAGGGGACCCCACAGTGAGCCCTGATTCTCAGTCAACATTTGAGGTGGAAAGAACATGTGCTTTGTGACCCCGGGGAGTCCCCGATGGCCAAGAAAAATGCATTAAGCTAAAAACCCAAACAAGAACAAACCCAGCAACAACCCACACGGGTTTCACACGCAGAGGAGCTTAGACCCACTGCAGAGGCGCACAGCTGCGGTCCCCGCGCCTTCAGAATCTCTCTTTCGGGTGCTGGCCTCTCTCTGAGAAAGGTTCTTTATCTGGTGGCAAAATGACCCATCGGGGGCTCCAGGCTCACCTCCCAGAGCTCAGCGATTCCGACAGACAGTGCCATTCTCCCAGGCCCCCCCACACCCACAGTCCCAGGAGGCCTCTGATCGGCCAGATGAGGGCTCTGCCCACTCCGGAGCCCGTCGGTGGAGGAGGCTCATCTGGCCAGAGACTGCAGGCTTCAGGGCCACTCTGATGACCTCTGGGTGAAATCATTGGGGCACAGCTGCCCCTCCCTTCCCCAGGCTCCTTCTATTTCTCTTTCTCTTGGTGGTGCGGGGCCTGAACCCAGGGCTGAGCCCTCCAGGCAGCYTCTACCAGCGGAGCTACGTCCCCGGCCCTCCTTCTGTTCTTAATTCTGTTTCTCCCTGGTTTCTGGTTTTTCCCTGGGGAGCTGTGCTGGGTGGGGGGTGAGCCCCTGTGTCCTGGAGGGGCCTCTTAGCATGGCTGCGGGCCAAGTGGAGACCAGAGGCTATTTCTGGCCAAGACTGGGGTGGGTGGAAAACCCAGGGCAGGAGGTGTCGGGGCACTTGGAKGGAAACCTGAGCCTGGGGGGCCTGCACCCGGGCCTGGGAAGTCTGCTGGCTGCCAGGAGGGAGGCTCTGGGGTGGGGCAGGGTGGGGCCCCAGCAGCTGGGAGGGAAGGGGTGGGACAAGAATGTCTCTCCTCCCAGGCACCTGTCCTCTAGTGTGTCAACCTTTGACCTCATCCCACAGTCACAGGCGAGAAGCAGGGAAGTGACATTGCCCGCCAGGCAGGTACCTGTACTTCCAACAGGGATGTTCACCTCGTCCTCTTGAGAGTTCTCAGAGCCAGATGCTCTTCCACGTCTCTAAGTGTTGACCCCGTTTCATACCGAGTTTCACAATTGTATGAAATAGGCACGGGCTATTCTACAGATTGCAATTGGGCTCAGAGAGGGGAAGTGACTAGCCCAAAGACACACAGCCAGTGAATGACAGAGCCATGGTCAGTGTCTGGGTGCCTATAACAACGGGCAGGTGGAGCTCAGGAGCAGTCAAGACGAGCGAGCGAGGACGCTGGGAAAGGCCGAGGCGGAAGGCCGGCCACTCACCCACCCTGAGCAGGGAGGGTGGGGATGCAGGAAAGGCAACCTGTGATCCGGGCCCTGATCTATGCCATTTGCACAGGATGAAGTGTGCAGGGAAGGGCTTTCCAGGAACAGCATCAGCAAAGGCGAAATGCTAAGTGGGGTCGGGGACATCTGGGACAGGGCAGGCCTGGCTGGGGCCTCTGCCAGTGTTTTGTGGGTCATGAGCAGTAGGCTGAGGGTGGACTGTGGTGCCCTGAAAGTGCCCCGAGGCCTGGCATCCCCTGCGTTGCTGCAGGGACAGCTGAGCCCACTGCCTGGCGTGGTTTCTTGGATGGGGGGTGGGAGATACGGGGCCTGGCAGGACACAGGGGCAGGAAGCCCTGCTCCTCCCAAACCTATGCTGCTGGTCCCTCGGTGGCTTGGGTGGCTGGGGATGGACGGGAAGTGGGCCACTCCTTCTGTGGGTTAGAGAAAGCCCTCTGTGTGCACCATGACAAAGAGGCTTTCTGCCAAATGGGAGGAGAGGAAGCGGCCATCTCGGCCCAGCCCCGGCATGAAAGGAGGCTCTGTTGGACACCTGGGGTCCTGGGTCCACAGAACGGGGCTGGGGGAACGGCGTCTCCTCAGTCTCTGTCCGAATTCCCCAGCAGCACGAGGTGGGGTGGGCTTGGTCTGTTGGAGACTGATCCCAGCATCGTGATTGCCCGGCTGTGTGACCTTGATCAAGTCACTTCCCTTCTCTGAGCCCTACTTTCCTCTTGAGTAAAATGTGGGTGGGGAGCATGCTAGTCAGCTAGGGTCAAGACCAGTCAGCACGTGCCCAGTGAGCACCGGCACCAGCACCTTGCAGCCTCTGCATCCTGCCCTGCTCCCGCAGTGGACCTAGATGGTGTCAGCCCTCCACCGAGGCTTCTGTACTGCAGGTCAGGGCTCCAGCCCTGGACGTCTGGACTCTGTAGCTCCCAGCTGCGCCACGACAGGGAAGGGCTGGCGGGAAACACCCAGCTGTCTGGAGGGTGATGGTCTGTGCCTCTTTGTTTATTTGGGTCCTGGGAATGGCACCCAGGGCCTTAGGGACTGTAGGCAAGCTCTGTACCACTGAGCCAGACCTCGGCCCTTTTTTGTGTTTGTCTTGAATATCTTAATTTTCTCAACTTGGGTGTTAGCAAGATGTAAAGGAAGAAAGATAAAGAGGAAATGGAACCTCTGGGGGGATCCAAGGTGATTTTAAATTAGAGTCACTTTTTTTTTGGTACCAGGGATTGGCACTCGACCACTGAGCCCCATCCCCAGCCCTATTTGTATTTTATTGAGAGACAGGGTCTCACTGAGTTGCTTAGTGCCTCGCCATTGCTGAGGCTGGCTTTGGACTCGCCATCCTCCTGCCTCAGCCTCCTGAGCTGCTGGAATTACAGGCGTGCACCCTGCACCCGGCCTTATAGTCATGTTTTGAAAACCAAACATTTAAAGATGCAGATTACTGTTCAGTTCTGGGAGGAGGTAGGGTAAGGCCCCAGGCAGACCTGGACTCTGGGTATCACCCCTTGCTCCTAGAAGCCCCTCAGACCCTGAGTGAGGATGACAGCACTCCTAGATGGCCTGGGGTTCCGCCCACTGAGATGCTCTGGGTTGCAGCCGAGAGCCCGGGGGAGCTGCCGGGGTAGTCTCCTGAGCAGCAGAGGCTCTGCCAAGTCTCTCCTTTGGCCTTGGCTCTGAGGAAGGGCGTAGGAGAGGTCTCATCCTCTTCCTGTACCTGGCCCTACACTACCCTCCACCTGCCTGGTGACCTCTGTAACCCAGGGCTGCGGGCAGGAGGCAGGCCAGGGTGGGGACCTGTGGCTTCCTGGCCCCTCTGCATCACAGAGGCCCTGTGGTGGGGGCTCAAAGGCCGCTTCCTAGATGGGCTGCCAGCCTCAGCCTCGGCTCCCAGAGGCAGCAGATAGAGGAAGAGGGGAGGACTGGGCTCGGAACAGGCTGAGGGACCCTGCCTGTTCCAAGATTGAGGGGGGCCCTCTAGGGCTGATCACTGCATTCCTGGGGGCCCCAGCGAGCTCCCGATAGACCAGCTGGGGCATGGACGTGGGGGGTCTGAGGCAGACCTCTGGTCACAGGAACCCCAGCTGCACCCTGCATCATCGTCTGCAGCCTAAGCAGAGGCCCGGGGTGGGATTTCCTGCTTCTCCAAGGACGAGACGGCGGGTCTGGAGAGAGTGGGTGGTGAGGGGAAGTTCTGGAACCCAAGTGGACCCATTTCCCAATTCTCTTTGTGCCCAGCTCTGGGTCCCCGTTCCCGACAGGCCTCAGGTGGCCCAGAACCCAGTGTGGCTGGGTGGAGGACGGGTGGCCTGGCCGGCGCTGTCCATGCCTAGATGTGGAGGGATGTGGGAAGCTGGCCTCCTTCCTCCCCACCAATGACCAGCAAAGAAATTCCACATCCCTCCCCGCCTCACCCAGGCTGACCCCGGGCCCTGCCACTCCCTCCGATGGCCCAGAGGGCAGCCACCTCCCACCGCCCCCAAACACTGGTCCTCCCGGGCATTGTTTCCAAAGGTCAATGGGAAGGAGCCTGCGGTGCACTGCAGACAGGTCTCCTGAGCACTGGGGTGTGCCCCCTCGTCCTTGGACTTGACCCCCTGCCACCTGTAGGCCAAGGCTTCTCACAAACAAGGCCACACTCGCCGGCTGTATATTTAATCAGTGCAGATTATTTGCAGAAATATACAGAGGGGGTGGACACCCAGCCCTCCACGCCCACCCCTCGCTGGCTCTCCGGTTCTGCAGAGGTCATCGTGACTGGGGGCAGCTCTTGGACTCGCACTCAGCACCAGGTCAAGAGAGGCTGGCAGAACGCCCCCTCCCCGCCCCCAGTGCCCTCAGGGATCCTGGGGGGAGCAGAGGGGACGGAGCCGGCTGTACAGTACCATTTCCCACAGCAGCTTCAGCCTCCTGCTGACTTTGGGAAGGAAAAGAGTAGAGGAACACCCGTCCACCCCCAGGCCGAGCCCAGGAGAACTGCCCGGCCACCGGGGGCTCTCGTGGGGGAAAAGCTGCTGGCCTGTGTCCCCTGGGGAGAGGGAGCTGGAGTCAAGGGAACCCCGAAGCCTGACTTGTAGCACTGCGGGCACCCCACTCCTGCGGGCACCTGTCTGGTACTCACTGTCCCAGCCTAGGCACTGGCCAATCCCCTCTCACTGCCAGGGTTGGGGACACTGGCAGCAGAAGCCTGAAACTGGCGCAGGCCCCTGAGGATGTGGTGTGAGAGGGAGAGGGAGAGGGTGGGGGGCCCAGGGAGGGAGCAGATGGGTCACGGCTGAGAGACGGACGTCCAGGCTGGGGCGAGGTCAGTGGTGGTGCTGGGGGAGGCCCTTGGCAGACTCCCTTTGGTCCTTGGTGAGGCAGGCCCAGGGCCCCTTCCCAAGAGGGAAGGAGGTGCGGCCCGAGGGGATGTGGGAGCTGCCAGCTGACCAGGGGATGGGGAGCAGGCTGCCGGGGCTGTCTGTGTGGGGGCTGGGGAGGAGGTGAGATGTGACTCAGAGGCCAGTGGACTGCTCCTGGCTGGGGGCTGCCCCAGGGTGAAAAGCTCATCCTCAGGCAGAGACTCAGGAAGGTGGGGACCCAGCTAGGTCCCTTCAAGACAAACAGGGCCCCTGGGTAGGGCCAGGGTTGGAACAAGTTCCACCACCCTTACGCCACCTCCCAGAGGTGGGTCTCTGTCCCTTGCTCCTCTGACTGTGGCCAAGCCACAGATGGATGAGGGCTGGCTCCCCTGACTGGCGCAGAAGAACATTTAGAAAATGCTAAGCCCTCTGCTCTGGTCAGGAAGGGAACGAATGCTCAGTTAAGGTGCCAATTAAAAAAACATCCCTAGGCATACATAAAGGACAGACAGGACAGGWGTGCAGATGGAGGGACCCCACGGTTGTTGCTTGCTGGGGTGCCCCAGGGAGCCGCCTGGGGACCACAGTGCCACCCGGCCCCCCAGCACCGGGCAGGGAGGGCGGTCACACCCACTCCTGCAGGGAGCGCTTGCAGTAGAGCAGCACGCGGGGCGCACCCTTGCGCTGCATCTGCACCAGGGCGTAGGCCAGGCCCAGGACGCAGAGCAGCAGCAGCAGCGGCACCAGCACCATGACCACGTTCACCGTCCGCGCCACCTCCTCCATCTGCACCACCACGCGGCTGCCCCCGTCCTCGTCCTTATCTGTCCCCGCCCCATSCCCCGCGCCACCCTCTGCACTGTCCCCGTCCACCCCGGGCTCCGCACCCCCATCAGGGTTGAAGGGTGGACGGGCCACATCAGGCCAGCGCGGTCCGGGCTCCACCTGCTCCTGGCAGCCCATGAAGTCCCTCAGGATGGACTTGGGGTAGCCGGGCTCCATCCGCAGGCGCTCGTTGTCGAACTTCCAGTACTTGGTGCCCTTGTAGAAGTAGGTGTAGGCTGCGGGACGAGAAG